AGTTATCCATCTTAGCCTAGGAAGTTTGCAATGAGGAAGTTGTCGAACTTTTTGCGAACACTAAATACGGATACGGACACGGGTACTGAGTATCTGGCCTCTATAAAATCCGCATTGAAATTATCTCTCTGAACGATGATTGGAAACATTCGCGATTTTGACGCAGAAATTCAAAATTTATAATTGATAAATAGAACAGAAAAACATGGAAAAAATTTAATGAAACATGTACGGTAAAATTTATGTGTAGGTAGCTATGCCTATGTACATATATAGTAAAGAACTACCTAACAGCGCTACCTCTCCACCTTCTATCCAGAGTTGTCGATCCTTACTGTATACGTGAGTGCAAGGACCGACAACTCTGGGTAGTGTGCAATACATACAATGTACATATGAAACTCAACCTCTCGTTAGAGGAAAAAAATAAAACAGTATACTTCAGTTTAAAGACAAGTTAGATATGAATAAAACTGCTGTCTACGCAGCCAAGTATGTATCTTTTAATAGAATTTACAATGGCCAAATAGAAACCTGTAATGCATTACGGTGGGAACGGTGTGTACTTGTATTATTTTAGATACTGAGCATTGGAAGAACTATACATCTTAATCGCAGTAAATAGATAGATAAATAAATAAATAAATAAATAACCAGTTCAATTATTAGACAATGCCGCTACTATTTTACCAGTATGAAAATGAATTGTGTATAAAAAGAGATTTTCAGCGATCTCATAAGGCGGGCTTAAGAAAGTTCTTACCCGAAATACAATGTATATTTGCAATTTTACAATATATGAATGTAATTACAATACAGTCATTGATAAACTGGTAGTAATAAAATCAGTAAGCATAAGCTCGTTGTAATTAACGATTTAATTAAAACATACATTATGTAAATCTAGGAAAATCAGCATTGAAAATCTATAAGCACAAAATAAAAGAGAGAAAGCAATATTGCAGTCCCTGGTGTACATGCAGTACTCACGTACGATGAGCTTTCAGTCCTTAAAGAAGTAGTGCAATATGGTTACAAAACCGAAATAAAATCACAGAAATACCTTACAAAATAACGGAAAACAAAGATTTTTTCCCGACGTATCGTTTTAGAGTAATTGGTGTAAATGTAATGCCCGTACGAAAACAAACCTTTAAAATAGCAAAATTAGGGAAATCCCCATTTTCACCGGAAGTGACGTAGTATGAGCAACATAGACGCGCTGGATTCGACTTCACTGTTATCAACAACAAGGTAAACACTGATCGAAATTTGCCGGAATCCGAGTAATTTTCGTTATTCCAAGGTTTAAACGGTAAAGACTATTATTATCAGGATCATTTGGTGAAAAAAGATCCCTTGGATATGGCAAGTTCTCGCCACAAGGACCGCCGTTGTGTAGTAGCTGGGTGTAGTAACACTGCGGGTGATGGCGTTTCAGTGCACACATTCCCATCGGATAGTCGAACTAGGAATGCATGGAAAAGGTTTGTGAAGCTGACCAGCGCAGACTGGGATGAGCCTTCGAGGCACAGTGCCATTTGTAGTGCCCATTTCACACCTTCATATTTCGACGCGCAGTATGACTTGAAGGCGAGCTTAGGATTTAGCACAAAGAGACGTCTCAACCCCGGTTCTGTGCCGTCCATATATCCTAAGAGGGATCATGATCAGCTAAACGAAGGTTTTTTTATCTTCTCCAGAGAAGAAGCCAAGGGGGGCTTATGCAAAAAGAGAAAGCTCCAGGGTAAGAATGATAAATTATTTTACAATATTAGCATGACATTAGGGAAATCCTTTTTTCTGTAAAAAAGTACATTTACAGGTACTTATAGTAGGGGATCCATCCAATCCCATTTGTACTTATTTGACAAAATCATTATAAATATTGGAATCTTAAATTTCAAGTATGAAAAACTGCGTTATTAAATAATCATGACAATTAATAAAATCAATGAAAATTAATAAAATAAACATGATAAATGGAAATTAATATAAAAAAAAACAATTTAGTATAATTTTATACGGGGATCAGTTCCCTAAAGCAAACTTGAGAAATACTGGGTCCCCTTAAAATGTAATACTTCAACCAAAATGCTATATCTATATTCTTATGCCATTGAAAAGAAATGTTATATGGGCATATCGTACGTGTACCTAATCGCTAATGTATATATATCAATAGCATATTTTACAAACGATAATATACATATATTATGTGGTAGTATATTTGTTGCTGTACTGTATGTTAGGTACGGTACTGTAATGTACAATATAATTCTGTACAGCATATCCACTTGAAATGCTTTCAATGAGAATATTATTTATGTGAAGACATAACCCAACCTTTACTCAGAAACGTGTGCAACATTTTTTTTTTCTTTTTTATTTTAGGTTTTGTCAAACTGATAAGGCTGAATGTCTCTTGCCTCAGCAGGACCGGTAGACTCGTCGTCAGTCAGTTCTATCTGGCCGGAATCGTCAGAAAAACTCTCCAAAGCATCGCTCTCACTGTCTGTAATACTGCTATTCTCCATCTTGAAATTGATATGTGTTGCTCATATTACGTCACAACACTTCCGGTTCTATATTTAGCAAAACCGGAAGTTGCGTTGATTGTTTTTCAAACAGGTGCAAAACGGCAAAATTCAAGCTGGTATATCTCGGCAAATACTTGACCGATTTTCATACTTTTTTTTTTAATTTTCATTTATTTGTATTCCCTTTCTCAATAACGAAGTGAAGATTGGCGTCACACTACTTCTTTAACACTCACGGTGATTAACTCGTGAAAATCGTGTCGTTGAGCAAGTACGCACTGGTGAAAATAGTGTCATCAGAAATTCTTCGCTTCTTCCCGTTTTTCAACTTTACAATAAGTTTACCATCAATCGACCAGGAGTTCTCAACACATTCCAGCTCGTACGCACGTTTTAGAATTTGCTGGTTTTCCTTGGTCAAGTCCTCGAAGATGTGTATCTTCTTACCTTTCAGTTCTTTCCTGGCCTTTAGCACTTCGAACTTTTTCATCCTGCGCGTTAATTTACAAATGGTAGAACGCGGACTAAGCTTATGGGCAATATCTATTCCGTTACCTTGATATCCACCTTGAGGTTCTCTCTGCAAAACTTGGCACACTTCTTCACGCAAGCCTCAGACTTCTCATTGCGATCACCTTCCAAACTGACAATTCGAACAGAATTTTTTCGGCCTTGTTCTTCCAATGCGTTTTCTCGCCGTGTCAACTGAACTTTTCTCTTTTCCGCTGCCTCTACACTCTTACTGTCCCACTGTATCCTGTAATTTCTCGTTCTCTTCCTCTAGGACAGATACTTTCTCTTCAAGTCTTTCTATCATCTCCTTGTTTTCCTGTCTTATTTCTTCCCTCAATTTGTTCATATGGAAAATCATATCCTCTTTCTTCATAAGAGTTAATGGTACCTGGTTAATATGGCCAAGTTTATCACCGGTACTGTCCATGTTGTTTAATAACACTTCACTCCCTCTTCGGTCAGTTTTCACCTTATGACTTGTGCTGGTAGTCCTGTAGGTCGGTATTTTTAAGAGTAATAGTCCACACAGTACACAACAATATCGAAACAAAACAAAATGTCAACAACGAATTCATATGTATCGGGTGTTGAATCCACGTTCACATAGGTAAGTGTTTACCTGTGTGAAGATCAACTCATCAGGAACAGGTGGGTGTGTAGGTAGTAGTCACTGTAGTGGTCACTGTAGCATGACGAACTTGAAAAAAGATCTCAAATATCACATGAAATAGCAACTCTTTTTCAAAATCCAATCTGCTACGAATGTTCAATATTGCCCGATAAATATGTTGCGTCAAAATATTTCCAAATAACTCTGTTTTACAAGACAAGAGACAACATTTTGTAGAAACATAAAAACACCACGACTTACTCGGTGACCACGTGACTATCGTGACTATCATACCTTTACCCTTCTAATGACACAATACTTGTGTTCCATGATATCATACCCTTACCACACTTGAATATCTGTATTGTATCATCAGAAAGGTAAGGGTATGATGTGACAGACTACGAATATTTGTTGTGAGTCGTCAGGGTGGTAAGGGTATGACATATGACGGACTACGAATATCTGTATAGTGTTTTCAGTGTGGTAAGGGTATGACATATGACGGACTACGAATGTCTGTATTGTGTTTTCAGTGTGGTAAGGGTATGACAAATGACGGACTACGAATATCTGTATTGTGTTTTCAGTGTGGTGAGGGTATGACATATGACGGACTACGAACATCTGTATTGTTTTCAGTGTGGTAAGGGTATGACATATGACGGACTACGAATGTCTGTATAGTGTTTTCAATGTGGTAAGGGTATGACATATGACGGACTACGAATGTCTGTATTGTGTTTTCAGTATGGTAAGGGTATGATATATGACGGACTACGAATATCTGTATTGTGTTTTCAGTGTGGTAAGGGTATGACATATGACGGACTACGAATATCTGTATTGTGTTTTTAGTGTGGTAAGGGTATGACATATGACGGACTACGAATATCTGTATTGTGTTTTCAGTGTGGTAAGGGTATGACATATGACGGACTACGAATGTCTGTATAGTGTTTTAGCGTGGTTTGTGTATGAAACTTGTATGTGATAGTATTGTTTTGATATTATCATTTAAACTAATACATGTATTACGTATGGCACAGCTTTATTGACATTTGTACATGCTCTCGATATGCATACACATTTGATTATTTCATGAGAAACATTGAAGTCTTGTGGTAAACCTCTGGTTACACCATACCCTCATCTCCTTCCCTCACTCCCTTCTCCTCTCCTTTCACCCCCCTCTTCCACTGTGAAGCTTCACTAATGTCTACTCTTGGAATGTAACTCACTCTAATACATGTGGTATGCTGAATTCCGTAACGATTTCCAGTCTAAACATACATTTCGTAACCCCAAATGTAACTTGCACTAAAGTCATATGTCTGTTATACATCTGTGAGTTTTTGAGTCTTTGTGTCCATTTTGTAAACATTGTCTGGCTCCACCAAAACCTCTGCGACGCCGTCCCGAATAACCAGTGTGGATTTTTTGGGGAATAGATGGATATCAAAAGTACAGTAAATTGATACAAATGTACATAGGGCAGTGATTGTTATGTTAGGGAGGAGATCCTTGTACATGGTCCCAAATACTATGCTGCAGGCAATATAGAATGGGCGCGCCACCAGGAGGGAAAATAGGTAATAGACAAGAGTCACGGCCAACACCGGATTCACTCGTATACAAGTCCGACAGAGGTACGGTATATCGCCTTCCCGACATGGCGGCAGGCACTGTAACTCAGAGAACTTCATTTCTGAAAACATAGACATTTCAAAAGTTAACAACAGCATTTAAATTCTAACTCAAATATATGATATGTTAAAACAAATGATTTTAACAAATTCTGGACAAATATCTCTGCTCATTTTGACCCGACAATATATCCTAGACGACTATGGTGTTGTTCTACTTTGACTTATACATTTGAGAATATATGCATATGTTGCCATGCAGAGAAAAGTTTATCTTTCCACACTTCCTATGCAGAATTCATTTGAAAAATATATTCATAAAACAAACATGTATATGACAAAGCATTTACGCAAACTGAACAATTTGTATTTCTGTTGCTCAAGAAAATTTGTATAATAAAATGACAAAGTATGATAATTGCATTTGTGTCTATCAAAATCAGGCAAAATACCTTATTGATACTGAACCCACCAAACACATTTTTGAGCGAGAAACAGAAACCTTGTCAAAACATCGGGATACTGTACACAGCAATTAGGTATTTGAGAAACCCTATCGAGCGGTCAACACGCCAGGACAGTGAACAATTCTACGGGGTATTGAATAATTTCAACAAGAAACAGGAAAACAAGAGGCTCATGGACCTTAACGGAAAGAGGCAAAATAAGCCCAAAATAAATTGCGCAATTGCTCTAAAGCTTACATAGAAGACATTGTTGGTTCATCAAGACATTTTCTGCAAACTTAAAATCATATTCGTTATACATGCACGTCAATTAAAACTGTCATTACTCCGGACGTATTGCCTGTTGAAAAATCAAGTCACACACTCAATATCAAGACCCTAGACCTTTCAGTTAATGAGTAGAAGTCATTTAAACATATTGGATAACTGTGACCTTGAAAGTAGGTTAATGCCATACAAATAACAAAGTTGGTAGCCCTTTATCTTAGCATACTACAAGCCTGATATCATCATCATTGGCCTTTTGTTTATTGAGAGGAGGTTATTTAAAGATTCTAACACATTTGATCCCTGTGACCCCTTTTGGGGCCTGACCTGAAATCCCAAGGGGTCGAATCAAACTTCTGAATCAGGCCAAAGCTTGTTGAAATCCACCCAGGCAGAAAGGGAGAGTAGGGTTTTAAATCTTACTTCCGAATCTCCCACTTTTGGGCTCTGTCACTAGACCCCTTGAGGTCAAATAAGAAATCTGAATTTAAGAAATGATTACCCTCCCAAACGATACACCAAACCCAACTTGATAGAATTCCATCCAACAATAAAAAAAGGAGTAGGGTTTTAAAGAAAACGTTTACACACAACGCATGTTTGATATAGGTTATCTTGACCCTTTTGGTCAAATGACCTAATAATTCAATATCAGGTTTATATGTTATTCCTTTCATAGACTGAAGAATGCTAAGTTTGTGTATTTATATGTATTTGTATATTTATACATATTGATATTTATTTCAATTCACTTGTTGACACTCTTACAAAACTCTTACCAGATCCTTTTTGATTGTGTCCCAGACAATGAACATTTTTTTTTACCAAATATCAGATTGTGTCCAAGACAAGAAGCATTCTAACCAAACTCTTGTGACTGCATCCCAAGCAAAGAACATTTTTATCAAACCCCTGTGATTGAGTCCAAGATAAGTAACAATTTAACCCAACCCTTCTGATTGCGTCCCAGACAAGTAACATTCGCACCATACTTTTGTAACTGTGTACTAGACAAGTAACAATCTTACTCAACCATTTTGCTTGTGTCCCAGACCTTCAACATTCTAATTAAACTTTGTGATTGTGCCCCAGACAAGTAACATTCTCTAAAAAGTCTTGTGCTTGTGTCCCAGACAAGAATCATTTTTACCAAACCCTAAAATTGTGTACCAAACAAGTAACAGTTTTACCAAACTTTTCGATTGTGTGCCAGACACGTAACAATCTAACCCAAACCTTCTGATTGTGTCCCATACAAGTAACATTCTCACCAAACATTTATGATTTTGTCCTAGACAAGTAACAATCTCCCAACCCTTTTTGATTGTGTCCAGACCTTCAACATTCTTACGAAACTTTTGTGATTGTATCCCAGACAAGTACAATTCACTCCAAACTTTTGCGACTTTGGCGCAGACAATGAACATTCTTACCAAACATTCGGACTGTGTCCTTCGTTACAAATTCTTGTGACTTTGTCCCATATTTTGACCAAACCCGTGTGACTGTGTTCTAGACAAGTAACATTCTCACAAAACCCATGTGATTGTGTCTCAGACAAGTAACACTCCCACTAAACAATTGTGACTGTACCCCAGATAAGAAACATTCTTACCGAGCTCTCATAATTGTGTTCCAGACAAGTAACATTCTCAAAAAACCCTTGTGAATGTGTCCCAGAAATGCAACATTCCAGCCACACTCTTGTGACTGTGTCCCAGAAAAGAAACATTCTTACCAAATTATGCGACGTTATTATGTTTTATACTGACTAGTCTTTACATTGACCTTAAGTCATTGACTACTAGATATCAAAAGACAGAATCATGTAGATGTATAAAATAGTAACCTTGATCCGCTTTTTGATATGAAACCATGGATATCTAAACACTCGAATGTAAATTCCCCAATGACTGTATTCTTTGCTACGTTATCTGGGTTAGGATCTGTATAATACTTGTGCCGACTTACCTTGATCAATTGACTTCGACTTTTGTGCGCGGTAGAGTTTCCAATACAAGCACACAAATGGTATATACAGAGTGCTGTACTCTAGCAAAGTCACAAATCCGTCATCATACGGATCTCGTTCACAAACCGTCACATAAAGAAGTTCTGTTTCCAGCTGTAATGCAGGAACTTGGCCATTGTCTTTTGTTAATCCTAGTGATTTAAATTTTATCAGTAACGGTAAAACAACAGTCATGTATATAAGAGCAATATTACGGAATACATTTGCCTTTTGAATTGGAAAAGTTACTTTAAGAGTGGAGCGGAAAACCGCCAACATCGATACAACAATGGCGACTAAACAGACGGAGTAAAAGTCAGCACACCGTTGACTTTTGATTGTGATTGTGTCTGAAATATGCTTCGCTGTTTGTAGTATGTATATTGCATACAGTTCATGAAGTAGCCCACAAAGAAGATAGATGATAATGGTAGAACAGTTCTTACAGCCAACTCTCACTATTCGTCCAACAGCAACAATTCCTATCCCCAATGTTAGTACGATGATTATGAACTGCCACACGCTAAAGATAATGATAATTTGTGCTTCTGCTTGATCTGAAACCGTTTCCGATGGATGGGAAATGGTCGCCATATTGCTTTCAGTCTTCTTCATTTTTACCACTGTTCATCACATTCTCTGTAAAATGTATACAATATTATTGTTAAAACAAAAACACAACAAAGTAGCAACAAAAACTGATAACATGAGAACTGAGAATATGGTTCAAAATAAATACAGCCATGTATAAATATATAAGGTGTGGGGGTTGCATGGATAGGGATGGGGTTGTGGTGTTGATGTCAGAGTGACCTATAAATGTAAATCAACAAGAATTTTGATAATTTGCCCCGTTTTCAGAAACCATATCTATAGCACCAAAAATGTTCATTAGCAACTAAAAATATTGTACACAAAGATGGATTTTGTAATGAGAATGATTCCAAATAGAAAGTCAGCTCCATGTTGATGTGTTTATTTCCTGGGGTGTTACATCTGTAGGTATACATGTAGACCCTAAATGTTGGTGTGTATATTTCCAGGGGTGTTTTAACTGTATGTACACATGTAGACCCTGAAAGATGGTGTGTATATTTCCAGGGGTGGTTTAACTGTATGTACACATGTAGACTCTGAAAGTTGGTGTGTATATTTCCAGGGGTGTTTTAACTGTAGGTATACATGAAGACCCTGAATGTTGGTGTGTATATTTCCAGGGATGTTTTAACTGTATGTATACATGTAGACCCTGAAAGTTGGTGTGTATATTTCCAGGGGTGTTTTAACTGTAGGTATACATGAAGACCCTGAATGTTGGTGTGTATATTTCCTGGGGTGTCACATCTGTAGGTATACATGAAGGTAATGATAGGAAACGTTATCGTCTTATCCAAGATATAGGTAGATGACATTGGTATCCACAAATTTGAAGTGTATGTTACTGATCAATATCAGGCCTGGTCAAATAGGGTCAACTTAATCCATAGGTCTAAAGTGTAAGATGTATGATTCAAAGAGTAAAGAAATCAAAGGCTATAAAACAGAAATTCACAAAAGAAAAGTGACAACCGAAAACAGTAAACAGTGATACTAATATAGAAAGTATTTGCATTATATTTGTATGTTTACTATACAACAACTGATCCCAATACACACTAAATTAGATGATCTGACTACACGTCGACATTGTTTTACTTTCCGAAATATTTGCTCTTGAATTCTGAAGCCTGTGTCCATAGTCGTAACCTTTTTATTTAAAATGTTTCACCATGCACTAGAAGAACATTTGTGCGTTGGAAAGAGTCTGTATTGGAAAGTTTCTAAATCAGAAGTTACTTGTCAAGGGGATAACTTCAACTTCTGTCATGGAAGGAAGCGAAGTGAGGTTAGTTGATTAAAAAGAATTTCCTTTATGTTCAAAGTCATCACTCTGGAATGGAAAATGAAATGGTTTGTTTTGTTTTAAGCATGGAAATTACTAATATGCATTACATAAGCTCCCCTTTGAATGGCAGATGATGAACGTAAATAAAACCATGTCAGCATTGTCAGACTACAGTACAGTGCAAAGGGACAAAATCATAGCATGTCTACATGAATTAGGTACACGCTATAGCAACAAAGCTCAAATCCTGGCCCCTCTGTCTGAGACTTACGATGACCGGTCGAACGTTATATAATAAAGTTATTCCCATGATCACTGTCAATATATTATTGATCATGACCATTTGTACAATGAGTCAAAGTCAAGTCAATATTGTGAATGTACAGAAAACCAACAATAAAAGGAACCAGACATGTGTTTCATGCTTGCCCTGTAGATCCAACAAACATGCTGACTAACGACTTGTCTAAATACATGTAAAGATGTGTGTTGGCTAGAATTTTTGACGCATCCAGAGATTTGACTTCAGTCGACTGGACAACGCCTGGTGAAGTATGATAAAGTGAAGCCCATGGTAAAGTGAAGCCACTTTATATTTTGTTTTCAATTGCTGTTTGTTCACTTAATTTTTTATCACTTTACTTAATTATGTCCCTCAATACATAGAAAAAAAAACGGCGGGGAGATTAAGCATGGGGCAGTGGGGCCATGGGGCCATGGCTATAATAAAGTGAAGCATTATACTATTTTCTCGCTAATTAACTTTTTTTCACCAATTGTTTTGCAATTCATCCTGAATCCTGCAACATGTACATAGAATTCCCATTGTTTAATTTCCATGGTTGGTATCAATAGACAATAGACATAGCATGAGTATTATGATATTATTACGCATTATTATAATGGCATGTAATGATACATTTTAGATGCAATTTACTTCTATTAAAAAATATCTAAAAAATATTGTCCTTCAATGTCTTCCATCGTTCTAATATGGAATTTTGGTGAAACGGTGTCGTTCATTGCGTTGTGTATTGTATTTTGTATACAGTATTCCCTTTGCTGAATTTTTCCAAAGAGTCATATATACTATTTTGTTTATGTAATTCTCCATTATCAGTACAATTATAATGTATTTATCATAGCATATACACTTACTCTTGCCTTTGTATATAATGATTTTTAGGCAGTTTAGAATATCACAAATGATCATTCCGTATTGACTATTTTGCAATGTTATTTGATTATATTTCATAAATTTCAATAATTTCTATTGTCATTGGTTATAATAAGTTAACCAAAGAGGATCTAAAAGCATCAATTTTAACTTTTGTTTCGGTCAAGACAGACAACTCAAGCCCAAAATTGCAAAAACAGTAGTTCACTGACCTATTGTTTTTATTTCATGGTTATAATCAGTAGTATATAATGTGTACTGGTGAAACAGTCAGCTGAAATATGGAAGATTTACATTTGAAGTTAAATGAAATGCTAGATTTTTTAAATGATAATTATGTGATATTGAATAAGAAAAAAACAACATTTCATGCTGGAAACATATTTTTCTTGTTTATTATAAGAATATTATACAGGTGATGATTAGCACCATGAAGTATCATGTAGTATTAATGATTAGAAAAAGACAATGTTTCGTAGTAAAAAAAACCGCTCTAAAATACATCAAGAACACTAAAAAAGTTCAACAGCATGCCATAAGAAAACGAGAAAAATGAGCACATTGACTTATCATGTTCCTTTTTTTCGTTTTTTAATATTTATATTCTCCCCTTTAAGATGAGGGACAGCTCTCAAAAAGTTAGTCATGGGAAACTTTTGACTTCACACAAGTGCATATCATAAATACCGAAGGAGTTGAGGAAAGGGTCAATATTTTTACCATAGCCAATATTTGGATACTTTAAAAACTATTTCTTAGATCAAGTTGAATTTTTGATACACAAATATGTAAATACTTATCACCCGTTCGCTTGTGATAATAATAGTAGCAAATATGAAAATAGATATCCCAGATATGTTAACACAACTGTACCACACAAACCTCACTATAGTGTGTTTCCTGTAAAGAGAGACTGTCCTGTTGTACCACACACCCCTCCCCATAGTGTGTTTACTGCAGAGAGTCACCGTCTTGTTGTACCACACAAACCTGCCGATATTATGTTAGTGTATAGAGTTCCTGTCCTGTTCTACCACACAAACCTACGTATAGTGTGTTCACTGTCCTGTTGTACCACACAAAACTTCCTATAGTGTGTTTACTATAGATTGCCACTGTTCTGTTATACTCTGTTGTACAGAGTCACTGTCCTGTTTTATCAAACAAACCTACTTATAGGGTGTTTACCCTACAGAGTCACTGTCCTGTTGTACCACACAAACCTCCCTATTGTGTGTTTAGTGTACAAAGTCACTGTCCTGCTGTACCAAACAAATCTTCCTATCGTGTGTTTAGTGTACAAAGTCACTGTCCTGTTGTACCACACAAACCTCCCTATCAAGTGTTTACTTTACAGAATCACTGTCCCGTCGTACCACACAAACCTCTCTATACATCGTTTACTGTACAAAGTCACTGTCCTGTTGTACCACACAAACCTCCCTATCGTGTGTTTAGTGTACAAAGTCACTGTCCTGTTGTACCAAACAAACCTTCCTATCGTGTGTTTAGTGTACAAAGTCACTGTCTTGTTGTACCACACAAACCTCCCTATCGTGTGTTTAGTGTACAAAGTCACTGTCCTGTTGTACTACACAAACCTCCCTATCGAGTGTTTAGTGTACAAAGTCACTGTCCTGTTGTACTAACAAACCTCCCTATCGTGTGTTTAGTGTACAAAGTCACTGTCCTGTTGTACTACACAAACCTCCCTATCGTGTGTTTATTGTACAAAGTCACTGTCCTGTTGTACTACACAAACCTCCCTATCGTGTGTTGATTGTAAAGAGTCACTGTTCTGTTGTATAACACAGAAACCTCCATGAAGTGTATTTACTGTACAGAGTCACATTCCTGTTATACCACAGGAACCTACATATAAGGTGTTTAATTTACAGAATCACTGTCCCGTCGTACCACACCACACAAACCTCCCTATAAAGTGTTTACTTTACAGAATCACTGTCCTGTTGTACCACACAAACCTCCCTATAATGTGTTCACTGTACAGAGTCATTGTCCTCTTGTTTATCATTGAAACCCCATGTCGATAATACTCACCTTCACATTGACCATGATCATAAGACGCTAGAACTGTGCGTGTTGTATGTACAGAAGTCTTTTCTGTATTGTGCTGTGATATATAGCCGATAAATCCTAGGAGACGAGAGGAAAACTATTTACTTACCTTATCGCGAGAGGCAAACGTCAATTAGTCATCAGTTTCGTAGTCCCAGTAACTGGCTTCAGTTGGACGAGGTAGTCGTCATATGGTAAAAAATCAATGGCGAATATGGGTAGTTTAGACTTGTGACAGTCGACAAACGCCACTCGATTGATACATAAATGGTTATGCTCTAAATATCACGGGCCGTTCGGGCCAGTTCCGGGTGTTTGTATATAGTAAGCCGATCGTTGACGCCGATGGCTACAGCCTGTGGCTTAAACGCTAATTGGAGTAAATGTCATACGAGTAAATGCAAATGTCGTGTTTATCTTCCTTCCTTCATCAAATATAATTGAACTAAATTTTAACGAGTATTTCTGGTTGATGAGTGATAGTAATGCTAATAGAAATACTAAAGGTGTAAATGAATGACCGGTCGCGTGTGAATGTGATAGTGCAAGCATATTGTATATAAATAAACTACTATGTACTTACGTTGATTGTAACGTTCTGTTAATGCATTATCGTGTATCGGATTTGTTCATATTAACACCGTTGGCTTGTGCTGTTTTTTGTTTGTTTTGAGTTTAACGTCCTTGTTCCGGTTATAACCGAGCCTAGGACACTAAGGGGGAGGGGGCTGGTAGAGCCGAGGCATTAGGGTGTGCAATTTCGCTTTTTAGTAATCACCAAACAGGTCTAATATGGGGAGGACAGATCTGACTAAATCTATACCCTAACGTCTAAAAAAAAAAAAAAAAAAAAAAAAAACTGGGGAAATTTTGGACTGTCACAGAAATGCCTAGTCCTACTCTAGTCTCACTTTATATTTCCCTATTATAAACCTATGCTCTGTGGCGGCTAGCAATTAGCCTTCTCTTTTTCGAAAACTAGCAGAGGTTCTTTAACGTGCACGGCGTGACTCACTGTACACCGGACCCCCGTTTAACGTCCCTTCCGAAGGACAAGAAGTTTTAGAAGATAGCGGGAGAGAGCGTATGGGAAAGTCGGAAATTGGAAAATAGGTTTAGCTTGTTAGCTGGTGTAGGTTTGTTATTTGTAGATGGGATTACTAGCCACCATTTGACAAGGTTAGTCATGCTGGTCTAGAGTGGATTTTAAAAGTGGGGAACTGTGTTATTAAGTTCAGTTATGAGAGTGGATGTGATGGGGTGATGTAAAGAATGTGCTGCAATTGGGTTAGCGTAGATTTTTGGGATTAGTGAGAATTAATGTGAATTATTATACAAACGATGTCGTTCGGGAGACTGTAGATTACTGTGTATAATCGTCTACATGTCTACCCTACTAGAGCAGGGATTTGTATATTAGAAGGTGGAAGGAAGAGTGGAAGAGATTTTGTAAAGGTTGTTGGCTTTGGGTCTCGGCCCAGTGTATGTTGTATTTATGTAGGTGATGTTTTTGTGTATGTATGTGGTGTTGTGGGTATGGTTACTTAAAAAAAAAAAAAAGGGGGGGGGGTCTTACTGTTTTTCTACAGTGTCCCCTGCTAAGGGATGTGGTGTGTGTTATTGGCATGTATTAAAGGGTATTGTTGGTATGTGTGAGGTGGTGAAATTATAGTCCTGTGTCCAGTGTTGAATACACCTCCCTGTAAAGTCAATTACAGAGGGCTGTGTATCCTGGTTTCCCTACCTACCATAGGTTACTGAACACCCATTGGGCACATGTAGATTCGAATACGTCCACTGTTTATCCAGTTATAGTAAGCAGTGGTTGTACGATCTACAAGTAGTACCTATTTGTGTTTTTATTCTATGCTGGACGTGGACTCATAATTGAGGTTAATTGGTCGAATACATATTTTCTATGTTGTTTTGGAGGGTTGAGTACCGTTTTGGAATCGAATTTCATATTGTCTATATGCTCAATTTGGTTTTGGAAAATTGATCTAAAGTTGTCATGGATGGTGCATTCGAACAGAATGTGTTCTATGGTTTCCGGTTCACCACAGTTTGGACAATATGGACTGACTTCCTTTTTAATACGGTTGATGTTATGACCGAGTTTGGTGTAGCCTAATCGAAGTCTATGGCTTGTGCTGTCATCCGGGCGTCTAAATTTATTCACTTCCTTTACCTTCATGTTGGTAATTTCCTTCCTTACGTAACGGGGCTTCTCATTGGTTGATCTCACTCTATTATGTAAAGCCTATTTAAGTCCGGACATCGACAGTAAACTTCAGTCTGCGCTAGCACTGACCTGCTGGTAGGCTCACTTCTCTCTCCTACTCTTGTCTCTTTCGTCTGTGGGGTTGGGGGGTCAGTGTCCCTCTGTGGCATTTCGAATAATGTATAGGCAGTAGACTTAGCCATAAGCCAGCGGTGGGGTATCTTATGTAGCTGTCACGTACGCATTTCGTGTTGTTTGCTCTTTCTTTTTAAGCATCTGCGGGTGCAATAAACTTAACCCTGTACCTTATAACTTATGGCAAGTGTTTTAATTTTTTGGGGTGATTCAAAATCCAAGATGGCCACCCTGGCCTCTGTTTGGCTAAGACATTTTGGACTTCCTCGCAAGAACCACTGGGTGGATCATGTTCAAACTTGGTACAGATGTTTTACACACGGCCCTGCACGAGTGTTGTTACATTTTTGCAACATTTTAAAATCCCAAGATTATTGACATATATTCCTCAGGTGACCGTTAAGGCCCCTTGGGCCTCTTGTCTACATCTCCGGTTGTTTCAATTTTCTTTTGTCCGACGGTGGATCGATGAATTCCTAATAATTTTGCTATTTCAGATTTTTTTAACATGACGTCACAAAATTCCGGTGCCAAGTAAAATTACACCCCCTAAAATTTGTTCTTGCCGAGTTTCATGGCGATAGTCAAATTATTTCTGTCCAAAAATCGCAAATGAAATGTACCAAAATTGGCCATGTTTTTTTGTAATACTTTTGTCACGTCACTGTATACCAAACTGTCACCCACTAGAGTTATCGTTCCAGTCTCGTCCTACACGTGAGTCCGTTTGAGACATAGCAACATAACGAAAATTTCTGTCTCTAAAATGATAATTTAATGTCAATATTCCCATTTATTGTACTGTTTCAGATATTACCATTTTTATTGACTATGATCATTTAGCATAGTCAATAACAGCATAAGAATGTCATCCTCGACACTCCAGGGTTTACAATCAGTTTCACTCTCTGTACCCCAGGAACACGTAAGTATCGCAAAATTGAAATCACAAGCAAAGTACTTTCCTTTCGTACACAACGGTGAGGATAATATATTAAAAGAACTTAAGCAGATCGTCAGATGTTTATTATGGTATTAAGGGCTATCAAATGGTAATGATGTCATCCTAAATTTTATCCTAAGATGACGTCACAATTGAGAGTATGATATATATTCTGCTCATATTACACATATAAAAACAATTCAGTTCAAAGGTGAATTACACGGACAACATTATAAATAGACGAATAAGACCAGGTGTCAAAATGGTAAGCGTTTCCTGCTTTTTCGAGAATACTGGCAATGTAAATCCAAGTCAGAATCTAATGTGTGATGATAAAAGAGTTTACAAGTAGGAGTTTTGCTTAGGTTAATTTACAAACGTTGTGATGAAGAGTCTACAAAGTTGGCGTTTTGTTGAGGTTAATTGTCCACAAAATAAAAAGCGGTAGCACTTCTCGTAAGGGGTTCAACTTATATTCGAAATGTATTATTATTAAAACAACCGGAACAGTTGAGTAAGCGTAAAAATAACGTTAAGAATTTGTGGAGATGAATAATTATCCCTGGAACTCAACAGGGAATATCATACGGTTCTGTCACTGAACAGGTAATATACGGTTCTGTCACTGAACAGGTAATATCATACGGTTCTGTCACTGTCTGTTTCTTGTATATATTATACATTTCTACATGAGAATAATTGAGTTAATTTGAATGATGGACGATGAAAATAATAAGGTTTGATATATTTTGTTCGGAGCTCCGCGCAGATTGGGCACAACAAAATTAGATTTCATCCTCGATGTAATTACTACTGCATAGGGGACACTGCAGTTGAGCCATTGGAATGCCATTTTACCAATCTGTTTCTATACTTCACACATGGGATGGTAACTTATACTTAGTGAAGATATTTTTACACTCATAAGTTCAAGATTTGGTGAGATAGAATTGCACGTCAAAATGATCTACAATGTATTTATACAGCCAACATTTGGAAGAATTTTCTAGGTGGCTTCTTGAATAAAAATATCTTGTATACGTTGGGTTTGCAAAAATATGAAATGTTCCACATTAGACAGACATACTTAAAGACGAGACTGATAGATCTCGGGGTGGGTCTATGTACACAAAATCAAAACAAGTAAAAAAACATAGGCTTGATAAAGTTTCGCATGATGGGCGATGGTATTCCTATTTTAACGGATGATGACTAGACGAAAGAATTCCTCGCTTGTTCATATGTTAAAGGACAACATATAGCATGGGAATTGTAATATTGTTTGAAAAATGCTAGATCAGGATACATCATCCTCGATACTTCAGGAGTTACGACCACTTTCGCTTTCTGCATGCACCCCTGGAAGCTAAGTAATTCTGTTGGTTCCAAGAGAAAAAAAACTGACCAATGACAGGCTGATACACTCCTGTTGAAGACTATAAAGGAGTGACACGCCACCTCAAAGCTACTACAATATACCGTTATGTGACCTCGAGATTCGACTGATGTACAACAGAGGATCAAACTAGTCTTTTCGTGTGGTCCACAAGGTGTCGCACATAGAACCTTCAATTTTGCTATGACATGTTCCAGGGGTGCAGAGTGAAACGACAGAGCGTTTAGTTAAAACATAGTGGTCTTCTCGCAAATAATACAACAAATGAGCAGTACGTGAAAAGATTATAGTGAGGGTATAGAGAGATAATGTTATGAAAACGGCGATTTATTGTCATTTTAATACGGAACTATATTTCAACTTTGAAAGTAAGGTCTCTAAATAGAGTTAGACGATTTACAGTGTAGCACCGTTCTGTGCTGGTAACGGGATCAAACCCACAGACAAACCGAACACCATCAAAGGTTCAACATAACACCAACGTGGTCTGCTTTATTATCCCTGCGCATGCGTTAACATATAACGAGAACATGAATGATATACGCTGCTTCGCTCACACACCAGTGTATTAAGGATACACATTCACTACATACAGGATCGGGGAGGGAAAAGACCGTTTTAATGTTGTTTTGTGTTTTTATTTCGACTGTAAATGGTTACAAGTGAAACATTACGAACTATTTAGAAAAATATATTGCCTACATATATGTATTATCACGGACTTATATACACATATGTGTATATAAGTCCGTGGTATTATCGATCCAAATGGGTTTGTGTTCACGCATGAATATCGTTACTGGGCATAGGGGATGCAATTTTACATGCAACACATTAAAAAGAAATATATATATATATCCCTGTGTTCTTTGAATACCGTAAGCTGAAATAATGTCACACTTTTAATAATTTCGACTTAAATTCACAAATGATAATAAGAAAGGTAAGTGACTAAATGTTATTTCAATAATTTCATTTGAACCGAATGTTTGACTGTCAGCCATTTTGGATTGAGCGGGAAATAGATGTTGTGAAGGTAGTTGCGACTACCAGATTAGGAAATTGTTGTAAAGTTAACTCCGGATTCTAAAACACTGCATTTCAATTGATATCCCCATAAACAAGTAGTCAGTTGTCATATATGATATGTTAAGTAAAATGTTAATTTAATCACGGACTTATATACACATGTGTATATAAGTCCGTGATTTAATGTTCAATAATGTTAAAATATTTTCAAAGTTAGATTAACACTAAATAAACGTTAAAAAATTCAACATTACTTTATCTTAGCATTAAAATAGATCATTGAATGTTAAAATAACATTAAATTTCAACACGATTTTAACATTATTTTATCATACGTGCTCATCTCATGTGAGTTTAACATTAAAAAACTAACTATGAAATAACGTTATTTTTTTCAATCTTCCAAGGACAAAACCACAATGACACATGGAGGTTATGTGAGCTCTGCTTCCTCAGAAACACAAGTAGTTCACCTTGGGTAGCAAAGTGCACTACTCCAATATCTGAGCCACTAAAAACAAAAAAAAAAAAAAAAAACATTCACAACCGTAAAATGCTATTTCACAGGTTTATATTATATAAGCACATGGAATGCTAGAGTGTAACAAATATCACTAAATATCAAGTCACCAGTAAATATGTTACTGTTTAGGACCACACCTGAAAGTCTTCAGCTACAAATGACAAATAAAAAGATAGGCTGATACGGTATGTAAATCTGGACAAATATTGATGTACCTTAATATAAGTAAGACCTGGTCCTTGTATTGTTACAAACATGAAGTGGACTGAAAAAGGCACAGCAAGGGATAAAAGGAAATCTACATATTACAAGGAAAGCTTCATACCAGGTATTATTTCTGAAGACAACAGGACCAAGGACCTAAGTGGTCAACTGACTTAAATCACAGAAATCACATAGTTAGTAAAGATGACTTCAACTACATTACATGTTCCTCATTCTTTCCTCAGAATCCTAACCAAACCAGTTTTTATTGCTTCCAATGATATCAAACAAATGAGACAAGTGATGCTTAAAACTAAGTTTCGTACATTTGTTTATCACCTATAGCTAACTTACTGATACAAAATAAATTTGACCTCTTTTTGGCCCAGTACTTCAGTCCTTGAGGAAGGGGACCACAATTTGACCTCTTTTGGTCCATTACCACAAGTCCTTGGAAAGGAGGCCACAACTGGACCCGTTTTGGTTCAACATTTTAAGCCCTTGGGGAATGGGACCACATAATTCACAATATTGATCACGTTTGGCCATGTGAAATATCATTAAATTGGTATAGGGTTTTTAAAAAGAAGTTGAAAGTATCAATTGTCTACAGATAGATGGGGATGGACGAAAGGCGATCCAATAAAGGCATCTTGAGACTTCTTCTAAGGTGACCTAAAACAGCAATAGCCAACTTTAATTAGTCATAATCAAAGATGGCCACTTGAAATTATACAAAGTTACAAGGAATATCAATTGGGGTTACAAGATTACAATTCATATGTTATAACAAACAATCTAATTACATATTACAAACAATTGTAATTATTACATATAACAAACAATTGTAATTACATATAACAAACAATTGTAATTACATATAATAAACAATTGTAATTATTACAAACAATTGTAATGATTACATATAACAAACAATTGTAATTACATATAATAAACAATTGTAATTATTACATATAACAAACAATTGTAATTATTACAAACAATTGTAATGATTACATATAACAAACAATTGTAATTACATATAATAAACAATTGTAATTATTACATATAACAAACAATTGTAATTATTACAAACAATTGTAATTATTACATATAACAAACAATTGTAATTACATATTACAAACAATTGTAATTACATATAATAAACAATTGTAATTATTACAAACAATTGTAATCATTACATATAACAAACAATTGTAATTACATATAACAAACAATTGTAATTACATATAATAAACAATTGTAATTATTACAAACAATTGTAATTATTACAAACAATTGTAATTACATATAATAAACAATTGTATTTATTACATATAACAAACAATTGTAATTACATATAATAAACAATTGTAATTATTACAAACAATTGTAATTATTACATATAACAAACAATTGTAATTACATATAATAAATAATTGTAATTATTACATATAACAAACAATTGTAATTACATATAACAAACAATTGTATTTATTACATATAACAAACAATTGTAATTATATATAACAAACAATTGTAATAACATATAATAAACAATTGTAATTATTACAAACAATTGTAATGATTACATATAACAAACAATTGTAATTACATATAATAAACAATTGTATTTATTACATATAACAAACAATTGTATTTATTACATATAATAAACAATTGTAATTACATATAACAAACAATTTTAATTACATATAACAAACAATTGTAATAATTACATATAATAAACAATTGTAATAACATAATTAATTATTACAAACAATTGTAATTATTACATATAACAAACAATTGTAATTATTACATATTACAAACAATTGTAATTACATATAACAAACAATTGTAATTATTACAAACAATTGTAATTATTACATATAACAAACAATTGTAATTATTACATATTACAAACAATTGTAATTACATATAACAAACAATTGTAATTATTACATATAATAAACAATTGTAATTATTACAAACAATTGTAATTATTACATATAACAAACAATTGCAATTACATATAACAAACAATTGCAATTATTACATATAGCAAACAATTGCAATTATTACATATAACAAACAATTGCAATTACATATAACAAACAATTGCAATTATTACATATAGCAAACAATTGCAATTATTACATATAACAAACAATTGTAATTATTACACATTAAGAAATTAACAAATTATTAAAAAAAAATCACTGTCATCATTTGAAAATAAGTCTCCATTCACAATTGTTACGAAGTTTCCATGTTTCTTGATTGTGAATTCTTAATAAACTTAAAAATTTGCATGTCGATATCTATCAGCTAAATATGAATCAGATATCTTGCATGATGTTACCCCCATCCCCCCACTGCCGAGATGTAAAGACCTCTATATAAAAAAAACTCCACAAAAAAACTAGGGAAAAACAAGAAAGAAAAAACAAAACAAAAATTTGAACATTAATTTTTTGCATAGCCTAATACTCTTATATACAAAATATTGGTCAAAATCAGATATCATCTAAATTTTGACCGATCAGAGAGTGGGATTGTGCTTCCATGATAATCATTTCTGAAACATGTTATGTATCCAACTACTGGTTTGACCGTAGTCAAATAACAAAATCAGTTGTATTACCAAGGAGAAATGGCTATTTATAGTAAAACTTGTTTACAGTTACCTGTTACCATGACAACCTATATTACCAGAGGAAAAAAAAAACAAGGAAAAAGCCTGTATAATATGTTAAATTGTACTGTTCTGTGAATGAGTGCTCTGAAATTGGCTATTTCTCAACATACACATCCGGGGAAAAAACTGTGCTCATTTTTTAAATAAAAGGGATATAACTCTCTGAAAGGGGGGAAAACACAAGGTCATTTTAAGGGGCACATCAAGAAATTTCCATTGTAAACTGAGTGAATGCCAGCTAAAGTGTGTTTTTGTCTTCAGACAGTCAGACAGACAGATGATTCCAGTAGAACCCCTCCCTCCTCCAACTTCATTGCATGGGGGTATAAAGAAAGCCACAATCATATATCTAATAGGTAATAATGACAGTTTGGTCAAATATGTCATTGGTTGCAAATTACTGGAAAAGATATATGAAAATTTGAAAATATACGTATCTGTACTGTCATTACTACTTCATTGATCCTATACATGTATCTGTTAACATAACAAGAGGCCCAGAGGGCCTGTATCACTCACCTGGATCATTATGACCAACTGTACAATATCTGTGCATATGTTCCACAGTAGATGCTTAAAGCAATATGACAAATTACTCCATATGGGTTCTGTCCCTTAGTAGTCCAAAATAAGTCATTTGTATATAAGCCTTTAATGGCCAAATATGATGGGTTTTTGGCTAATCAGAAGAAGTTGATTAACTATTTTACCAAATCTAACCCCAATGACCATAAATATCATTATGGGTCAAGCTATTTTTTCACACACTATGTGGGCACCATTAAGGGAACGTTTTGGAAAAATATTATGATCCTAAGCCTTTAGCTTAATCAGAAGTTGTTCAAAGGTTTAACACATTTGACTGTTGTGACCTTGAATATGGGTCAAGGTCATTTCTGGTCTCAAATATTACCAGGCATCATTGAGAACCTATTTTGGAATTATATCACTATCCTAGATGTTTTGGATCATCAGAAAATGCAATTTAAAGGTTTAACACATTTGACCCCTGTTACCTTGACTATGGGGCAAGGTCATTTCTGTTTTGCAAACTTTCTTAGACTTCATAAAAGGAACATACTGGCCAAATATAATGATTCTAGGATTTTCTATATTTCATTAGAAATTGTTTAAACGTTTTAACACATTTGACCCCTGTGACTTTGAAGACTGGTCAAGGTCATTTCTTTTAGCAAACTTTGTAGGACACCATAAGAGAAACATAGTAGCCTAATATAATGCTAAGGGCCCAATATCAGTACCCTTGGCCTTTTAGTTACTGAGGAAAAAGTTGTATGAAAGGAAAGGTTTATGCCAGATAGACCTTTCTGCCAAGCTTATTGCAATTCGAGCAGGTGAGTCAAAAAACAAAAATTGCCAATCAAAACTGTTTGAAAATCTGACATGAATCTACTAGTAAGTAACAAAGATAACTATTAAACAACTGACATTTTACAAAACATTTGCTAAACTTTTTCAGTGTCAAGCAACATAGGTGAACTACTGTAAAGTCAAATCAAAGCCTGGCATGAAGATGCTAGCAACATATAAGCAAGAGGCCCATTGGGCCTGAAGGCCTGTATCGCTCACCAGGCTTTGGCTGAAACTGCTCCATCCAAACTAAAGGACTATTAAGTCTAAATTTCCAGCACACAGCATAAACAATTTCCTTAGTGGGTCAGCAAAACCATTCATGCTTCATTTCAAATTGAGACAGAATTCTACCATTCCTACAGAAGAATAAATTTAATTAATATGCTCATTACCCTATTGGGCCCTGCCTCTCCTGCCCCTAGGGGCAAAGACCCACAGTTTGTACAAAATTAATTCCCCTTTTCCCAAGAATGTTCCAGACCAAATTTGGGACAAATTTAATCTTTCCTACAGGAGGAAAAAGATTTTTAAAGCATTTACTCTGTTTCCCCTTTTGGGCCTTACCCCTCAGGCCACTTAGGGATTCACCATTTATACCAAATTTACTTGCTTTACCCCCAAGAATGCTTCTGACAAAATATGGTCAAAATCTGCTTAATCGTTTACAACAAACAGCAATTTGGAAAAAATAGTTGACAGATGGATGAGGTATGGATGAATAGTAGATGCCTGCTATATGGCTTTAAGCTCACTGGTTTTGAAGGACTAGGTGAGCTTAAAATCATGATTATCATCTAAAATGACCATTAATAACCCAAAGTTGTCACAAACAGCAAACATCCTGAATAAATATGAGAAAATATTCTTATTAAATAAAGTTACACGTAAAATATAAATTTCAGTTCAGAATTATAAGCCGGAGTTCAATCCAGTATTTTCATCGTTCTTTGGAATCAAAGAGACCAGTAAGCTTTAATTCTCTGTACAATATCAGCTCGACAGATTGGACAGTCCTGGACACTAACAGAACAACCTGCACAACAAGCCATGTGACCACATGGCAGAAACAGAATACTGACTTCTTCATCCATACAGATCTTACATGTCCTCTCATCCTTCAGCTTCTGGTTTTCTTCCATTATACTTTTTATATCTGGAACATAAAAGACATTTTTACAGGCTGGTCTCATTGTGGTGGAAACACACTCATCCTTCTGCAAGACCTTGTTCAGATTTGAAACAGAAGATCTCTCAGCCACTTCTATCCAGGTTAACAAGAGTGAGGGCATTGTAAGTGCCACATCCTCAAGCTCCAGTTTTTTCAGGCTATTCCGTGAAACATTAATCCTCCACTCGGGCTCCTGTTTTTTTAAAGCTATTCAAGTAAAACATACTCCATCCTCGGACTCTAGGGTTTTTTAAGGGCTATTCAAGTGAAACATTTACTCAACTATAGGGCTTCAGGGTTTTAAGGGCTATTCCGGTAAAACATTTACCCCTATCCATGAGCTCCAGGTTTTGATTAGAGTAAAACTTACTTTTAAACCAAAACTATAATGAAATAAAATCTCTTAATGAATTAATGATAATTACACTGAAATACATTTTGACAAATTGAATGATGGTAAAGTTTCACAAGTGCTTTTTTCCCCCCAATATTAAACAAGAAAATTGAAATGCCTGTTAACTGTAACATCAACAGAAATATATCTGTGTGCAAAAGTGTTGAAAAGTAATTCAACATGGGTGTGTTGTATGAACAAGAAATAATTCAAAATCCTCAGGAAAGTGTGTGTATTATATCAATCCCACAATGTTGTATTTTATACATGGAAAGGTGAAAGAGTATGTAGCACAAATTATCAGGGACAATGTCGACAAAAGGCATTAACTCTGTAATCAAAAAGACAGACACCATTTTATCAGTAGTTACCTGAGCCACTTGACCCTAGCTGGTCTGTGTCTGATGAATGTGATGCCTCCTGACTTGATGAATCTGTTGAAGGTTTTGCTGACGATGGTGATGATACATCCACAGTCTTGGGTGCTGTTTGATGAAAATCTGAGGATCCTTGTGGGGGCATAACTGATGATGTAGCAGAACTCTGGAAACCAGCTGACAAGCTTGGCAGACCTGTTTGTGGGTTTGATGCTGGTGACACAAGCCGTGCCTCATTTTGAAATTGGAATGACCCAGATGGTACATCTTCAGCACACACCATTGTAACACCTAAATCAAAATACACCAAAAAGTGTCTATTTCAAATCATTACTGAACACAAGCAAGAATTATCTTAAAGGATTTTCTAAATTTGTTCCGATATGCCATAAAAGTTATACTAGTACCTGATTTCTGTGAGAAACCAGGAAAGAAATGCTGAATCAGAAGACAAGAGGCCCACGGGCCTTAACAGTCTTCTGACTACAAAAACACGGAGAAGGATGATTTTTTCTACTTTGAATGAAATCTTACTAAGAAGCTGTTTTCCATGATTAAGATGGTAGTTTTGGAGAGGAATAGGTAACAGTAACAAATGTTACCTATTTTTTGATATTTAAGTTCTCAGTTTGAAATAGGTGTTGCAATGGAAAAGTATGATTGCAAAATCCTTGTAACAAAATGCCCTCCCCGGCTGTTGTGTCGAAGTTTTGACAAAGTCAACAAAAGAACACTTTGTTGGCTACCTTTCCTAATCATTTCCAACAATTTTTAGCTCATTGGCACCAGTGAAAATGGAGAATAAGTTTAAAACATGTTCTTCAAGACAGCCACCATGGCAGCCATCTTTGATTTCAGACAGACCAGAAAAATAACAACACTTGGTCAGGACCATCTCAGGATCATGTCATGCAAGTTTGACCTCATTTTCACTGGTTGAACTTGAGAAGAAATTTGAAATGTCAAAAGTTTACGCCTGGCAGATGGCGCATGTTGACGGATGAATCTCAATGACTAATAGGTCATCGTGAACAAATGGGTCAGATGACCTTGTAGAATATAATGTCTTCCTCAAACTACAACAAATATAATGAACAAGCCTTCCTGTCTTTCATTACCATTTTCCTACAAAATACATCATTAATCAATTCAAAATTAACTGTAGTAGAAAGCTGAATAATCTTCAAAATGAATGTGACAGATCATTTCTATATAATTTTGATGCATTTGTATATTCAAATGAAACACAATTTTAAGTAATTTATGATTAAAACATTACTCTCTATTGTATACCACTTTCAGCCCAAAATACAAAGAAAATTCTTCCAGACCAAATGCATATGAAAACTACTGGTAAGTAATTTCTATGATGAATCATTTGACTTTAAATGTATATATATATATATTTTTTAATATGAGATTCACTTCTAAATGGTCAAAAAAATGACTATGGTCAGACCAGTCAGTCTAAAGCCAGCACTCTAAAATAACAGATAACAGTTATGAGGAGAAGAGACTCTGATGACTTCATGCATCAGAGAAAAAACGCCAAAGCCTGATGATTTTAGGTCACAGTGAACAAACACCAAAGCTTGATGACTTTAGGTTTCAGTGAACAAACGCCAAAGCTTGATGACTTTAGGTCTCAGTGAACAAACGCCAAAGCTTGATGACTTTAGGTTTCAGTGAACAAACGCCAAAGCTTGATGACTTTAGGTTTCAGTGAACAAACGCCAAAGCTTGATGACTTTAGGTCACAGTGAACAAACACCAAAGCTTGATGACTTTAGGTCTCAGTGAACAAACGCCAAAGCTTGATGACTTTAGGTCTCAGTGAACAAACGCCAAAGCTTGATGACTTTAGGTTTCAGTGAACAAACGCCAAAGCTTGATGATTTTAGGTCTCAGTGAACAAACACCAAAGCTTGATGACTTCACCACTCATTGAACAAATATTAAAGCTAGCAACAGAGAAGGTTTAACTGGGCTTTGTTTCCAGTTTCTTCAGTTATACTTCTTTGGATACGCCATATGACTTCCGAAATAAAAAGATAGTGATGAAGATTTTTTCATTACAGAGTATGAGTTTTTTTATTTGAAAACCAAGAAACAAGAGACATAGTTATGAAAAAATGTCCATATCTGCTGCAGAACTCTCCAGGAAATCATACATACCTTCACACCAGCACTCATCTCATCAGCCTCATACTAGTACACACACATCATCATTACATATAACATGATTTTAGGTGTGATTATAGTCAATTCAAAAGGAAGATAATGCCAGAAAACAACATTGAATTTACACCAAGTTAAAACTACAATATGCCATACCTTGACTTTGTGCTTGTTGAAGGTCCTAAAACACAAAAGTTTAAAATCAAATTGGTAAAACATTATCCTTAAGTACAGGTGAGAAAGATACAAAAGCACAATCAATTTTGTAAGATTCAACGATGAAAAATCATTGTATGTTAGATTTAATGATGAAAAGTCCAATGAATGTCACATTAAGAGACGAAAAGCCTAATGTATATCTGACTTAGAGATGAAAAGTTCAATGTATGACAGATTTGGATATGAAAAGTCCACTGTATGACAGATTTAGAGATGAAAAGTCCAATGTATGTCAGATTTGGAGATGAAAAGTCCAATGTATGTCAGATTTAGAGATGAAAAGTCCAATATGTCAGATTTGGAGATGAAAAGTCCAATCTATGTCGGATCTCGAGATGAAAAGTCCAATGTATGTCAGTTTTAGAGACAAAAAGTCCAATGTATGTCAGATTTGGAGATGAAAAGTCCAATGTTTGTCTGATTAAGAAACGAAAAGTCCAATGTATGTCAGATTTCGAGACAAAAAGTCCAATGTATGTCTAATTTAGAGATGAAAAGTCCAATGTAAGTCGTATTTGGAAATGAACATACATGTATGTCAGATTTGGAGATGAAAAGTCCAATGTGTGTCAGATTTGGATATGAAAAGTCCAATGTATGTCAGATTTGGAGATGAAAAGTCCAATGTATGTCAGATTTAGAGATGAAAAGTCCTATGTATGTCAGTTTTAGAGACAAAAAGTCCAATGTATGTCAGATTTGGAGATAAAAAGTCCAATGTTTGTCTGATTAAGAAACGAAAAGTCCAATATTTGTCAGATTTAGAGACAAAAAGTCCAATGTATGTCTGATTTAGAGATGAAAAGTCCAATGTATGTCAGATTTAGAAATGAACATACATGTATGTCAGATTTGGAGATGAAAAGTCCAATGTATGTCAGTTTCAGAAATGAAAAGTCCAATGTATGTCAGATTTAGAGATGAAAAGTCCAATGTATGTCAGATTTGGAGACAAAAAGTCCAATGTATGTCAGATTTGCAGATGAAAAGTCCAATGTTTGTCTGATTAAGAAACGAAAAGTCCAATGTATGTCAGATTTCGAGACAAAAAGTCCAATGTATGTCTAATTTAGAGATGAAAAGTCCAATGTAAGTCGTATTTAGAAATGAACATACATGTATGTCAGATTTGGAGATGAAAAGTCCAATGTGTGTCAGATTTGGATATGAAAAGTCCAATGTATGTCAGATTTGGAGATGAAAAGTCCAATGTATGTCAGATTTAGAGATGAAAAGTCCTATGTATGTCAGTTTTAGAGACAAAAAGTCCAATGTATGTCAGATTTGGAGACAAAAAGTCCAATGTATGACAGATTTAGAGATGAAAAGTCCAGTGTATGTCAGATTTGGAGATGAAAAGTCCAATGTATGTCAGATTTAGAGATGAAAAGTCCAATGTATGTCAGATTTATAAATGAAAATACATGTATGTCAGATTTGGAGATGAAAAGTCCTATGTAAGTCAGATTTAGAGATGAAAAGTCCAATGTATGTCAGTTTTAGAGATGAAAAGTCCAATGTATGTCAGATTTGGAGATGAAAAGTTCAATGAAGATGAAAAGTCCAATGTATGTCAGATTTGGAGATGAAAAGTCCAATGTATGTCAGATTTAGAGATGAAAAGTCCAATGTATGTCAGATTTAGAGATGAAAAGATGAAAAGTCCAATGTATGTCAGATTTGGAGATGAAAAGTCAATGTATGTCAGATTTAGAGATGAAAAGTCCAATGTATGTCAGATTTAGAGATGAAAATTCCAATGTATGTCAGATTTAGAGATGAAAAGTCCAATGTATGAAAACAATGTATGACAGATTTAGAGATGAAAAGTCCAACGTATGTCAGATTTGGAGATGAAAAGTCCAATGTAAGTCGGATTTACAAATGAACATACATGTATGTCAGATTTGGAGATGAAAAGTCCAATGTATGTCAGATTTGGAGATGAAAAGTCCAATGTAAGTCTGATTAAGAAACGAAAAGTCCAATGTATGTCAGATTTCGAGACAAAAAGTCCAATGTATGTCAGTTTTAGAGATGAAAAGTCCAATGTAAGTCGGATTGTATGTCAAGAGACAAAAAGTCCAATGTATGTCAGATTTGGAGATGAAAAGTCCAATGTATGTAAGATTTAGAGATGAAAAGTCCAATGTATGTCAGATTTGGAGATGAAAAGTCCAATGTATGTCAGATTTAGAGATGAAAAGTCCAATGTATGTCAGTTTTAGAGACAAAAAGTCCAATGTATGTCAGATTTAGAGATGAAAAGTCCTATGTATGTCAGTTTTAGAGACAAAAAGTCCAATGTATGTCAGATTTGGAGATGAAAAGTCCAATGTATGTCAGATTTGGAGATGAAAAGTCCAATGTATGTCAGATTTAGAGATGAAAAGTCCTATGTATGTCAGTTTTAGAGACAAAAAGTCCAATGTATGTCAGATTTGTAGATGAAAAGTCCAATGTATGTCAGATTTAGAGACAAAAAGTCCAATGTATGTCAGATTTGTAGATGAAAAGTCCAATGTATGTCAGATTTGGAGATGAAAAGTCCTATGTAAGTCAGATTTAGAGATGAAAAGTCCAATGTATGTCAGATTTAGAGATGAAAAGTCCAATGTATGTCAGATTTAGAGATGAAAAGTCCAACATATGTCAGATTTAGAGATGAAAAGTCCAATGTATGTCAGATTTAGAGATGAAAAGTCCAATGTATGTCAGATTTAGAGATGAAAAGTCCAATGTATGTCGGATTTAGAGATGAAAAAATGTGTGTCAGATTTGCATATGAAAAGTCCAATGTAGAGATGAAAAGTCCAATGTATGTCAGATTTGGAGATGAAAAGTCCAATGTAAGTCAGATTTAGAGACAAAAAGTCCAATGTATGTCAGATTTGGTGATGAAAAGTTCAATGTATGTCAGATTTAGAGATGAAAAGTCCAATGTATGTCAGATTTGGAGATGAAAAGTCCAATGTATGTCAGATTTGGAGATGAAAAGTCCAATGTATGTCAGATTTGGAGATGAAAAGTCCAATGTATGTCAGATTTGGAGATTAAAAGTTCAATGTATGTCGATTTCAGATTTGGAGATGAAAAGTCCAATGTATGTCAGATTTAGAGATGAAAAGTCCTATGTATGTCAGATTTGGAGATGAAAAGTCCAATCTATGTCAGATCTGGAGATGAAAAGTCCAATGTATGTCAGATTTGGAGATTAAAAGTTCAATGTATGTCAGATTTAGAGATGAAAAGTCCAATGTATGTCAGATTTGGAGATGAAAAGTCCAATGTATGTCAGATCTGGAGATGAAAAGTCCAATGTAAGTCGGATTTAGAAATGAAAATACATGTATGTCAGATTTGGAGATGAAAAGTCCAATGTATGTCAGTTTTAGAGATGAAAAGTCCAATGTAAGTCGGATTTAGAAATAAACATACATGTATGTCAGATTTAGAGATGAAAAGTCCAATGTATGTAAGATTTGGAGATGAAAAGTCCAATGTATGTCAGATTTAGAGAGGAAAAGTCCAATGTATGTCAGATTTGGAGATGAAAAGTCCAATGTATGTCAGATTTGGAGATGAAAAGTCCAATGTATGACAGATTTAGAGATGAAAAGTCCAATGTATGTCAGATCTGGAGATGAAAAGTCCAATATAAGTCGGATTTAGAGAGATGAAAAGTCCAATGTATGTCAGATTTGGAGATGAAAAGTCCAATGTATGTCAGATTTAGAGATGAAAAGTCCAATGTATGACAGATTTGTATCTGATATCACATTGATGTCAGATTTGGAGATGATAAGTCCAATGTATGTCAGATTTAGAGATGAAAAGTCCAATGTATGTCAGATTTGGAGATGAAAAGTCCAATGTATGTCAGATTTAGAGATGAAAAGTCCAATGTATGTCAGATTTGGAGATGAAAAGTCCAATGTAAGTCAGATTTGGAGATGAAAAGTCCTATGTAAGTCAGATTTAGAGAAGAAAAGTCTAATGGATTAGAGATGAAAAGTCCAATGTATGTCAGATTTGTAGATGAAAGCACATTGATGTCAGATTTGGAGATGAAAAGTCCAATGTATGTCAGATTTGGAGATGAAAAGTCCAATGTATGTCAGATTTAGAGATGAAAAGTCCAATGTATGTCAGATTTAGAGATGAAAAGTCCTATGTATGTCAGTTTTAGAGACAAAAACTCCAATGTTTGTCGGATTTAGAAATGAACATACATGTATGTCAGATTTGGAGATGAAAAGTCCAATGTGTGTCAGATTTGGAGATAAAAAAAATCAGTGTATGTTAGATTTAGAGATGAAAAGTCCAATGAATGTCACATTAAGAGACGAAAAGTCCAATGTATGTCTGATTTAGAGATGAAAAGTTCAATGTATGACAGATTTGGATATGAAAAGTCCAATGTATGACAGATTTAGAGATGAAAAGTCCAATGTATGTCAGATTTAGAGATGAAAAGTCCAATGTATGTCAGATTTAGAGATGAAAAGTCCAATATGTCAGATTTGGAGATGAAAAGTCCAATCTATGTCAGATTTGGAGATGAAAAGTCCAATGTATGTCAGATTTAGAGACAAAAAGTCCAATGTATGTCAGATTTGTAGATGAAAAGTCCAATGTATGTCAGATTTGGAGACAAAAAGTCCAATGTATGACAGATTTAGAGATGAAAAGTCCAATGTATGTCAGATTTGGAGATGAAAAGTCCAATGTGTGTCAGATTTGGATATGAAAAGTCCAATGTATGTCAGATTTGGAGATGAAAAGTCCAATGTATGTCAGATTTAGAGATGAAAAGTCCGAGGTATGTCAGTTTTAGAGACAAAAATCCAATGTATGTCAGATTTGGAGATAAAAAGTCCAATGTTTGTCTGATTAAGAAACGAAAAGTCCAATATTTGTCAGATTTAGAGACAAAAAGTCCAATGTATGTCTGATT